TATATATATATTAGTATAAGAAATATAAGAAAAGCTTTTGCATTTGCTTTCCTTTTCTTTTGAACTTTTTATTCATCAAAGAATCCTGAAAAAGTATTTTACTGGAGTAATGACTGCTGAAAGTTCAGCTTTGCATCACAGGAATAAATTACAAATTTAAATCTATTAAAATAAATAAAAAAATTATAATAGTATTTCAGAATAGTACCGTTTTTACAGCATGTTTGTTCAAATAAATACATAATACATAAAAAGACAAATACATAAGAGATATTTTTCTATATATCTTACTGACCCCAAACTTATTTTTTATGTATTACAATTTTATTTAAAATTTGTACATTTTTTCTGCAATTCTTGTTTCATGTTTTGTTGCTTATTTTAACGAAAAAATATATATAAAAAATACATTTCCCCAAACTTTTTCAGGTGAACCGTCTGAACCAGCGTCTCATCAACTCAAACTCAAGTGAGTAAACTGTTTGTCAGGAATAGCTCACATTGACATTGTGTTAGAAAACACTGTGTTTTAAACTTTTCAGGTCAATCTTTCTTTATTAATCTTTTTATAGACTCTAACGTGAAGCCTGTTCATCTGCCTTACGGAATCCCACGTGTTCTTCAGGAGCAGTCAGATTACTGTATACTTCACCACACTGCGTACATCAGCGGATACAGCAGAAACATCCTGATGCCCCTTTGGGTCTCATACTCTTTGAATGCAACGGTAAGACTAGTCTTAAGACCCCATGACATTACTAGATAAGCACCTCTATTTTTTCTTTGTGGGCACATTCCTACTCGTATTGCTAGTTAAAGGTGGAATCTATAATTAGGGAGTAACATTCTTTTTCTAGAGAGCATTTTATTATTCGAGTCAAAATGAGTCATTGTAGACGAGTCGTACAAGAGGAGTCATGTAGAGCATCCTCCAAAAAGAGACTGTCATTTTTAAATGCGAACGGATACATCTGCTAAAATTTCATTTTATTATTATTTTTATTAGAAGTACACTAGCATGATTATGATCTAAATACTAACAGTTATGACTGACTGTGATATCATGGGGTCTTTAAAGTGGAGTTTATTGTGGACGAGACCTCTAAAACAATAGCTCATTTTAAGCTGTTACAATGTTGCACTGCAGGGGTTTTCATTTGATATTTTCCTGTGATTATTTTCTGAAGATATCCTGTGAGAATTAAATGAGCTACACCCCTTTTTAATTATTACAGAACTTGAAAAATCACTTGTGAAAAACATGTACACTTTAGTAATACTTTTTAGAAGTATGCTGCTGTATATTATATAAATAATATGCTTAAGTGCAAATGGATGTAATGTTTTTACATACTTAATTGCTTTTAATTGATACATGAATATGTGTTATAATTTAAATGTATATGAAATCAATTGAACTGAAGTTTAGATTTATTAACTTATTTCATAGTTAACATGTTGCCGAATGTACTGACAAGCATTTATGGTAAACTAAAATATACTTGAATGTAAATTCTGTTGAAATTTGTATGCAATACATTTAAATATTTTTGTATGCATCTGTAATGATGAATTTGCAGTTTAGTACATTTTAAATATATAGTAACTCTGATTGAATAACACACTACAGTTTAAATTCTAATCAAGTACCTTACATGTACTTTAGTATGTTAGTCAGTACGATTATTAAAACATAATGATTTAAAATGTTCTTTGGTAAAACCTTTATCTTTTTAAAAGTGTACTAAAGTGTGTTAAGAAGCAGTCATAAAAGTGTTCTCTCTACACAGTAAGTGTACTTAAAAGGATAGTTCACCCAAAAATGAAAATTCTGTCAGACATAATTTATTCAACAATTAGTCTCCTCCGCGTCACCCTATAGCACCATTTTGGAGAGTATCAAATGCGTCAACAATGTAGGGCTATGCAACGTATGTACGCGGATATGTTGTTTACATTCAGATCAAAGCGTAAACAACGTAAACAGCGTATCCGCGTACGATGCTGCTGACACAGAACAGCATACGTTGTTTACGGGTGTGATACTCTCCAAAATGGCGCTACGGTGAAGTGGAGGAGACGAATTGTTGAATAAAGTCATTATTTTTTTTCTTTGCGCACAAAAAGTATTCTCGTAGCTTCGTAAAATTACGGTTGAACCGCTGATGTCACACGGATTATTTTAACGATCTCCTTGCTACGTTTCTGTGCCTTGATCATGTTTGGACCCTTGCTGTCTATGCAGAAAGCTCTCGGATTTCATCAAAAATATCTTAATTTGTGTTCCGGAGATGAACGAAGGTCTTATGGATTTGGAACGACATGAGGGTGAGTAATTAGTGACAGAATTTTCATTTTTGGGTGAACTATCCCTTTAAGTGGCCTTTGCATTTTTAAAAGTACAATTTAAAAAATACACTTATGATTTGACATACACTAAAAGTGCATAATCAATATAATTGTGCACTTCTTTTTCACAAGGGTGAGTAACCACTGGTGAAATTAGATGAGATTAAGTGCAGTTAAACACACTTCTTTTTCACAAACTAAATTTGTAATGATGGTTCAAACAGGAAGGTGTACGTGTGCAGAGGGTTTAATGGTGATGCTCAGTGAGGTCAGGAAATATGACAGACGGCCTCACTCTCCACCTTTCAACATGTGCTGCTCATTTTGTGGGCCGACCGCAGAGTAAATCACAGTCTCTAGCATCATCATCACACTCGCTAACACTCGACACAACGAGACAGTGACAAACTGCAGTCGCTCATCAAGCGTTTTCTCGGCTCCATGCACTGTTTTGATTGTTACTGTAATTTTTTGTCAATTAACTTAAAGTGATAGTTCATCCAAAAAAGACAATTCTGATACAAAAAAAAAGAGTTTTTGAAGTATATACTAGTCACTCTTTTCCATATGATGAAGGTGAAAGAATACTGAAAGCATACTTCAGTTTTGACCCAAACTCTTAAGCCCAAAGTATACTGTATGTTTTTTTTTTCCACAATCAAATACATAATCTTTGTATACTTGTTTGCAAACAGCTAGTCAACACATGTGCACTAGAACTAGTACTGTACTTGACTTTCCAGTGTCTGCGATATTTCTGTCCAGGGGTTAAGATGGATAAAAATTTATTTTGTGGGCATTTATGTTTTTGTATGTAAGTTGTGGGTATCTCTTATGACGGCCACACATTACACGATGTTAGCCCTGATTTTCCGCACTCCAACATTTAATAGAGATCGCAGACAAACACCTGAAATCTGAGGCAAATCGGTGCTCATTCACATGAGTAGATAATGTTAGAATCTTTTTTTATGTGAGCTAAATGAAATCATCTGTATTCTCTAATTTTCTTTATACATAAAACAACTACAAGCCACAACCTGAAGCTGTGAAATGACGAATGTGACCACAGCTGGAGTTTTTCAGGCTTCAGGCCTGATCTTGTTTTTTGTTTTGCGTGGGAGTAACTTCAAGAGCTAAACATCATGACTTCACTATCATGACTATCAAATCATCCCATACAGAGTGTTTAAAAGTCCGATTGTGAAGCATGTATTTTAAGTACTATTAAGTCAAGATTAGAGATGTTTCATAAAAAGCAAACTGGCCTTTCTCTCAAAGCTCTTAGATTACTGTAGGAAATCTCTGTTAAAGGGGTCATATGATGCTTTTTTTAAGATAATTATTTTGTGTATTTGGTGTAACAGAATATGTTGACATGCTTTAATGTTCAAAAAACACATTATTTTTCAAATACTGTACATTATTGTAGGTCCTCTATGCCCCGCCTCTCTCAAACACTTCGTTTTCTACAAAGTCCCTCCTTCCGACAAGCACAGTCTGCTCTGATTGGCCAGCTGAACCAGTGCATTGTGATTGGCCGAACACAACAAGCACGCGTCGGAAATGTAACGCCCCTTACCATAAACGCGAGCTTCACTGCTGTTCCTGAAACCACGCCTTCTTTCTTTGCACATTTGGGCGGCATTATGCAAATGTTTCCACATAGTGAGGTAGATATGTGGGGTGTGTTAGAACGAGCCGTTTTAGGGGGGCGTGGCAGAGTCTTAACTTTGATAAAGAATATCTCTTTGGTTTTGAGACTTTAGTCTTTGCAACTTCAGGGATCTTATCTATGTACAATCAGCTTGTAACACTCCAAAGAGAAAGGAAAACTTGAAATCGCATCATATGACTCCTTTAAGTGGCAAACGCTGAGAATGTTTTGCTTGTAATGTGTCCAACAGGAATTCTATCATGCACTTGATGAGTGTTTTAAACACTAAGCACTGTTTCCTCTGATCGTTGATTTTCTTTCTTCTCTTTTTCAAACAAAGGTGAGCGTCCAGCCCTCAGCAGACACATGTGTGCGTGCAGATGTGCGTGTACAGGCCAGTGCGAGACAGTCCTGCTCATTCTATAAGAACAATTCCACTCTGACCTTTGGCCTCCTGCATCCACCCAGTGAGTCCAACAGGATATCTGTATTTACGTTAAGACCTTTACACAAAACTCACTGTTCATTTCACTTTCTGACCTCTTTTACTTATGGGAAAAGGTCCTAGAGTTCGATTAGAGCTATAAGTGATATTAGCTAATAAATGTTTTTTTTTTAAATTTAATTTGAATGAAGTACATGATATGCTACATTCTGGAAATAAACCCATAAATACAAATATTTATAAGCGATTTAATTGAAAAACAAGCCCACAGTTGCTTATAATATAGTAAGCTAATATGGTATGTTGCCATTAACAACTGGTAGATATATAAATTTGAGGTTGGTCAAATTTTTTCATGTTTTTAAAACAAGTGTCTTATGCTCACCAAGGCTGCAATTATTTGATCGAAAATGCAGTATAAACCGAAATATTGTGAAATGTTATTACAATTTGAAATAAGTGCTTTATATCTTAATATACAGGTGCATCTCAATAAATTAGAATGTCGTGGAAAAGTTCATTTATTTCAGTAATTTCAAGATTTTTTGATGAATAAAAAGTTCAACTGAACAACACTATTTGTATATAAATATTTTGTAACAATATAAAAGCCTTTACCGTCACTTTTGATCAATTTAATGCATCCTTGCTGAATAAAAGAATAATTTCTTTCTTTCTGGCCCCAAATATTTGAACAGCATTGTACAGTTTAGTGGTCATTATACACAGATCTTTAACCACTCAATTCTGCAATTTGGCCAGTCAGTGTATCCATAGATCTGTGTAATAAAAGAGTTGTGTTTACTCTGCTATGTCTGTAGTGTTTTGTATGACAGGACTCTAAATGCTTTCTCTCTCCCTCAGACTTCAGTCCTACAGGAACTGAGCCAGACTCCTTAATTACAAGCAACATGGTGCCCATGTTTCCTGCTTTCAAAGGTAAGCCGTGTTTTACATTATAACATTATAACATTATAACATTGCTTATAACATTACACAGACTGCAGGGAGACAAAACCTGACAACTGGGATCTCTTTCTTTTTTGCACTTTTTGTGATTTATTGTGTTATGTCATTGTGCAATTTGCATGTTTGTTCTGGCAAGAACTGCATGATGTCTTTCTTCTGACTGCCAATACGAATATTTCCAAAATATTTGCTGTTTACTTGTATAGTTGGAAAGTAAATGGAAAGTTAATGGCATGCTGGAATCAAGAATCTACGCATAATTAGCTCTGAGGTTGGTTAAAATGTAGATTTTATTAGGGATTTAAGCATGAAGTGCTAGGAAACATTATGGTCATTTATTTGTGCAAAAAAAAAACGTACAGTTCAATTAGACGCACAGCGTTTGATGTCAACAATAGCAAAAAAAAACATGGGTCTGGAGTGCCATTGTCAATAATCATGAAAAAAAATACTGAACTTTGTATTCAGAATGGGTTCCACATGCCAGTAGACATGTTGCCTGTTTTTATTAAAAGGCTGTAATTCTGCATTCCAGCTCATAAAGTCAGAATTTACAACTTTCTGTTTGGAAAAGTGTAATACATTGACACTAGAAGTCAGAAAAAAGTAATGCAGAAATCCTTAACATAACAAAAGACTTTGCCCAACATAATGGCACCCATGAATATTTATACTGATGATAAATATTCACTTTAAAGGGGTGTCCAAACCTGTGGAGGGATGCTGTCCAGCAGTGTTCAGCTCCAATCCTAATCAAACACACCTGAACCAGCTAATCAAGATCTTACTAGGCATACTAGAAACTTCCAGGCAGGTGTGTTGAGGCAAGTTGGAGCTAAACTCTGCAGGACAGTGGCCCTCCAGGACCGAGTTTGGACTCGCCTGACTTTAAGCAAGTAGAATGTTTTTCTCACTCAAAGTTCCTACATTGCATGAGAATTAAATCTGTTTTGCAAGTGTTTGCATAGACATGGGTGTGAACCTTGATCTACAGTGCTGTGTCACTCTACAGATCTACAGAGTGAGTGTTGTCCTACTAAACTACTAAAACACTTTCAAAATCAATGAGACTATATATGAGAAAGCTGTGCTCTAATTTAATAAAGATATGCAACACTCCCTGAAAAGGTAAATTTTCTCAAGTTAAAGCTGCCCTATAATTAGAATCAGTTGATCACAGCTGAATTGAGGCCAGCAAGCATTTATACCAAAATCAAAGAAAGAGTCCCGCAGGAACGCTTGACCTGCCAAAAAACACCTAGGAATGCTCAACAGAGCACACAAAGAACTGCAGGTTTCTCAGCGTACTTTCATTGCTCTGTTATCAGAGTGAGACAAAAATGGACTTGATGAGAGAACAGAGACAGAGATGACAGACATGCTTTTTTGTGTTTATATGGGCCTGTAGACAAACATAAAATTGGCATTTCAGGGATATTTCATGTTTGACATGTCTTTAAAGTGCCCCTATTATGGGTAATGAAAGGTTCATATTTCGGTTTTGGGAGTCCCCAACAACAGGTTGACATGCATGCAATGTCAAAAAAACACTTTCATTGTCTTATAATATGCATTTATTTTTACCTTACTTGCTCAACGACTCCCAAACGATT